TATGCATTTGTGATTACAGGTTCTTGAGAAGATCATAAACGGTGTACAAGATTTTGGATTTCAGTGCAAAGGTTGGATTGAGTCTCCATTGAAGGGAGCTGATGGAAACAAAGAGTTTTTAGCATACTTCGGTCGAACGGCTGAAAGACCTGAAGACACCTCACCTGCTAAGGCTGATATTAGTAACTTGCACAGGGGTTGTCGACAAGATATGGAACTGCCAAAATAAAAATGTTGTACAAGCAGGATCCTTTTGCCAAAATTGGGGAAACCCTGTCAATTTGATACAGTAGAATATACCATAGCGTTTGCATTTGTTTTGCCTAGAATTTTAAGATTATAAAGTATGTAACAAGGTTTCAACTGGACTTGTTTTTAATATAATTGTTCTTTGAATACTTGCCTGAGATGAGTTTCTATCCTTGCAAGCTATTGGTGACAATCAATTGTTTGTTTGAGGTGCAATGTAGTTAAGATTTGGTACATATGATTAGCAAATGAAAAGGGGAAGGAGAAAAGCATCAAGAACCTGTACTATGGTGTATGACGAAGGAAATTCTACTAGGGGTGTAAGACGGGATTGGTCGCCCACGCACAACACAGGCCAACTCATCATCTATAAACGAGATTGAGGGTCCATTTGAAAAATCAAAGTTACTTTTAAAATTAAGAAATTGTTTTTGAGCATGTATAAATAATTTTTTGGAAGATCGTTTAGAAAAAATTGACCTTAAGTAACGTTCTCTATAAGTTTTTCTGCTAGAAGCAAAAGCATAAGTTCTGTCAAACGGATCTTGAGTGCTGGTTGAGTTAATGTATTCATTCGATAATAGACTCTCAAATAATGAATAAACCTTCGTACTCAAATCTGAGAGAAAATCAAAAGTTTGGACTGAATCAAACTTGGTTAGGTTGCCCTTTGCCAAGCCTTCTTATTTATAGATCTTCACCAATGTCAGGGAGAGGTTTCCCCTCCCCTCGTCAAAAACAACTTCCAATTAAAAATTAAAGAACAGAGAGTCTTGTCTCCTATTTTATTTTAAGAGTAATTCTTGTCTCCTATTTTATTTTAAGAGTAATGTTAATTGCAGTCGTTATTGTCACATGTATGTCATGTATGCATCTAATCACTACTATGATATTGAGCGACTGTAAATAACATTATTCTTATTTTAATGGTTCACGTTCATCACGTGGGGGCCGATTTGCAATCCACATCGATAATCTGCCTCATGGGGGGATTGATTCACATATTTAAGTTAAAGTTCCCAAAACTCAACCTATAATCACATCAAGTGAAATGCTAGAAAGCATCGCCCTGGACCGATAAATAGATAAACATGGACGAGATGTTAACAGTAACCAATCGTATATCCATGTGAAAAAAAAAAAAAGAAGCCCTCAAAATTTTGCCATTCAGCAAAACACAATTCTTTACACTAATTTTTTCTTAGAAAACAGCAGACTGAAATGGGAACCATTGACCCGATAGATTGTGAAATATGGTAGCTGGCAGCTTCTGATATGTAGAAGTCTTGATGGCCGTGGGACTAATGGAGTTAAAATGCTATTATTGTTATTCTCCTACTTGATGTTGTTGAAACTTGTGGAGGAGAAAAAGGCATTGCTAATGTTGTCCTGTTGCTGTACTCCTCCATTTGTATCGATTCTTTTTGACAATTTTACCTTCTTCTTCGGATACAGATGGAGGGAGGATGGTTTCTTGTATCTCCTGCAAATAAGCAAAGCGAACTCGTAAATAAACTATAGTCACATGATGAAGATTATTCAAACTTGATTACACGATGAAGGTCGAAAAAAGGCTTGGGCGGCCGCCCGACCTTGTGTTGCAATTATAGTGGCCATTTTGTTGAACTAGGCGGGTGCCGGGTTTAGTACTGGGAGGCCACCTGGTACAAAAATTTACCCGTTGGAGTTTTGAATCTGGTGTCATTTGGAAGGGTTTCACGTCATTTTGGCTTGATTTTTGCACCCTTTTTTCGTGCATGATGGTTGTAATTCTATATATATATATATATATACTTTGAAGAACAATATATAAAACT